CCCCTACCTTGTGCTCAGTGGGTGAGAGCACACCAGTCTCCTTCCCCCCAACTTGAATTGCATTTTTCACTGCTGTCAGCATGTATTAGATCATCTACTGGCTTCATATTAGTATTGAGAACATTGGATCCTTGCTTTTCCATTCTTGTGATACTTTACTAAGAAGAATGTGTTTGTGCAAATCTTTTTGTGGGTACACATACTGATTTCTGTTGGGTAATAACTGGAAGTAGAATGTTATGTTTAGTTTTGTAAGAAACTACCAGCCATTTTTCCAAAATAATTCTACTATTTATACTCCCACCATTAATGTCTGAGCATTGGGTTGTTCCAACATCCTCACCAACATATGGCGTTGTCAGTCTTTTTAATTTTAGCCATTCTGGTGGGTGTGTAATGGTCCATCATTGTGCTTTTAATTTGCATTTCCCTGATGACTAATGATGTTAAGCACTGTGGTATGTGTTTATGCTATTTGAATACATTTCCTTTGTGAAATGTCTATTAAAATCTTTTTTCCACTTTTTATCCAGTTGTTATATATCCTTTGTTGGATCTGTAGTTTGCAAAATATGAAAACCCAGTCTGTGGCCTCACACTTCATTATATTAATGATATGATATCATCTTGGAGCAGAAGTTTTAATATTGATAAAGTCTAATCTTGCGATTTCATGGTTATTGCTGTGTGTATTGTCTCTAATACACCACTGCACGTCCCGGAGGCACAGGGATAGTCTCCCGAGTTTTCTTCTAGTTGTAGTCTGAGCTTTCATATTTAGGTTTATGATCCGTCTTCAATTAAATTTTCATGCATAGCGTGAGGTGGGAATCAGATTTCTTGTTTTCCCCCTGTGAGTATCTCCTTGTTTTAGTATCATTTCTTTAAAAAGTTCCCTTTCTCATTTGGATTATATCAGGTTGAGTGTGAGGTTGTGAGGCGCTGTGTTAGAAATGTCCTTTGGGCCTCACTGAATCCTTGAGCTCTCATAAGATTTCAAGGAGGACAAGACGAAGGCAGCTTCACTTGCAGTAATAACAGAGATTTTGAAAGAGGAGCTGCAGCAGATTGAGAGTAATGAGAGGTGTTCTCTTTGATGCCACAGCCCATTTGGAGTGAATCAAAAGTTTCCAGAAGATAATAAAAAGATTGAACCTGAGTGTGCTGTCTTGTCAGTGTCCCCCTGGCTGGGGCCCTTAGTGCAAGGAGACAGTAAGTAATAATAGGACTTTTGTAGGTCACTTTCTTCCTCTTTCCAGAAATAGAAGCATGCTTCCCCAAAATAATCTATTTCCATTTATATTTCTGCCACTTCTAGCTTGTTGTTCTGCATTGGTTCCTGGTTTTCTCTGTCTTCCCCCTGGCTAGATTGGGAAGCGTGTCTGGGACAAGAAACATTATGTTTTTACTCTCTGCAGAGTACCTGGTTGGTTTGTTTGTTTGTTTGTTTCCTGGATACAGTCTCACTTTGTCACCCTTGGTAGAGTGCTGTGGCACCATAGCTCACAGCAACTTCAAAGTCCTGGGCTTAAGCGATGCTCTTGCCTCAGCCTCCCAAGTAGCTGGGACTGTGAGGGTCCGCCACAATGCCTGGCTATTTTTAGAGATGAGGTCTTATTCAGGCTCAGGCTGGTCTCGAACCTGTGAGCTCAGGAAATCCACCCACCTTGGTCTCCCAAGGGCTGGGATTACAGGCGTGAGCCACCGCACACAGCAGATAACCTGGTTTGACCGTTTGCAAACGGAAACATAACCAGTAGATTTATCTAGCAGCGGCAGTGGGAATGAAGAGAGATCTCTTGTAGTCCCAGTTGTACCTAATTTCTGTATTTATTTTTCACATATGTATTTTTTTTAACTGAAGGAGAGTTTTAGGTGCTGAAGCCTTTAAGCAATTAACCTGCAAACATTTTCAGCATGCTACCTGAGCTTCAGCAGGAGCATCCTGCCCAGCTGGAAAGGCAGACATAGCCGCAAAGTCAGGCTCCCAGGAGTGTGGGCAAGGTGCTTTGGGATGGGAGGACTGAGTTCTTCCCCCAGGGCCTCTGGGAAGAAAAGATACGTATTTAAGCTACGTTTGGAAGGCGAGGTGGCATTTAGGTTTCGTTAGCTTTTAAAATCCCAGATTCTCATCCCATTTCTCTTTACCCCCGCACTCTACCCCTCAGCTGTAAACAAAACTCTGTTAAATTATTGACTCAAGTGATGCCTCATGGAGAACATGGGCACCTTTTATATTTATAGTTGGTGCCACTACTGTGGCATACAAAGAAGTGTAGTCTTCAGTACAACCTGTATCAGTGGGCTGTATAAGCTTAAGATGAACCTTTGTAACTGGAATGGAAATCAAAAGACCTGCGAGCAAGTCCTAGCTTTGTCTCTGAGAAGTGGGTACAGTTCCTGTGCACCCAGGAACTTCAGAAGTCTGGGCCCCTGGAAGTATGAGAGTTGAACCAGGTATGAAAGGAGAAGGATACTCCTGAATGGCTGTCTAGATGGTACAGATACAAGATTTCTACTCAGATCAGTTGAAAGCCCGAATGTACATATTTGCATAAAGAATAGTTATGTTGCTATGTTTACGTCTTATTAAATGAAGAGGCAGGTTTAGTGAGATGTTGGACTACATATAGCATTATCAAAAAAATCCTCATTAAAAAAAAAATCCTAGTAAAAATGCAGTAAGCTTATGAGGAAAATGACCTTATATTCTGGCTTGCTTTGTTGTTCAAATTTGTTAGGAATTTCTGCTTAATTGCCATTCAAATGAAAATATACAATTATGAAAAGAAGAAAATGGTAAAGCCTTTTATAAATCTAAATGGCTGACTTTGCAAAACCTGAGCTTTTTCTTCCTCCATTTCTGTTTCTGCGAAAGGTAGTAGCTTTTGCCCCCAGAAAAAAGACATCTTTGAAATGGAGTTAAATTATAATTTGAAAATAAGGTTCGCCTCTCTGTCCTATGCTATATTCTGACTACTTCTAAAGCGACCTTATCATTCTTGCAGCAGAGTCCTTTATATGTCCTTGGGGGGGACCCTTGATGATTTGTGCCATAGAAAGAGTAGCTAGTGAATTTTCTCTTCGCTCTGTACAAATTCCCATTTGTGCAATTGCCTGCCCTCGAGTTTTCCCAGTGATGCAAGCTACTGTTATGCTGCCAGGCTTGCTAACCTAATGGCATCACTTTTGAGAAATACTGCAGGCTTTAAAAAATATATCAATTAATAAGAGGGTTTACGATTCAATTTTGAAATCCCTGATTCAGGGATATTCTCATTTTGTTTTAAAAGATCTACTCACCTAGCGCTTTTTGCCTTCTGTTTTTTTGGATTTTTGTAGGGTTTGCTTTCATAATATAAGAATATTTGTTTTGATTTAAAAAACTGCTTCCCTCAAACCCGGTAACTGATGTATTTGCCTTTGGCACTGGGTATTTCCTGTTACTGCGTGCTGTGGTCTCCACTTACGTGAAGGCAGGGGACCTGTTGATTCTTTTGTTTCAGAGAAGCCAAATGATTTCATATCCTGTCTTAGGCAAGATTTGGTACGGTCTGAGCCCCTTTTCCGTCTTTTAGTAATTTTGAACTGGTTATTTACCTTCGGTCTTTTTGCCTGTGGTAATCCCATCTAAAGCCTCATGGGATATTGAAATAAACAGACAAAAACGTTTTGAGTGTCTAGAATGAAAGATTTTGGAATTATTCCTCTAGCTCAGTGATTCTTAACTTTTTAAAGACTTCTCAAAAACATTAAGTCAGTTTTTATTGATAATTAAGAATGAATGAATGAAGTAGTTAATAACATTATAGAAATTTTATGATTTTTACTTTTAAAGAAAGTGCTACCAACTTCTTTGGAACTAAGGAAAGTAAAAGGCAGAAAAGGCCTCCCTCACCCTTCTGAAAGAATTAAGACAGTTGTGGAAGGATGCACTTGGAAGAATGGTTGGGTTTTAAGAATTTGGAGATGTTGAAAAGAATTAGAGTCTCATGTCCCATTGCTGGGTTGACAACCCGATGCTGGGTTGTCTAAGCATCGTGGTAAATGGAAGATAGAGTAAGGATTTAAGGTCAGGTAGCCACCTTCAAACTCTGACCTCGACTTTATTAGCTCTATATCCTTGGACAAGCTGTTTATTCCCTTTGAACTTCAGTTTCATCGTCTATAAAATGGGAATAACAGGACACACTTCATAGAGCCGGTGGGAGATTCAATATTGGTAGGGCATATGGCACAAAGCTTGGCCTACAGTGACCTCTGTGAGTTCCTGTACCCTTACATCACCAGCCCCATAAGCAAGTTGATCTTTATTTCACTGACCTTTGGCCAACATTAAGGCCATTACCACAACGAGCTTGAATCTAAAGTGGTACTCACGATTCTGATATCTAGCTTTCGTGAAAGGCAAAATGATTCCTAATTTTGTAAATCCTTGCTAAGACTAATAGGCTTGGCAGAAAGAATTTTGTGTTACATAGGAGACCTTTCATCTGAATTATTCCTATGATCATTATACATCCCCTCCCCCTTCCTTTTTTCTTCTATTTAAAATGACTCTAAAATATGGAGTGGGAAATAACATAATGCAGATGGTTTCATTTATGTGAAAAATGGTTGCTAGGAATTGAAAAACAGGTTTTCACAGTTGAAATCACCACTTTCAAGGATATTATGGTTGCAGCCTACTGCAGGAGAATAATAATGATGATGATCTTACCGTGCGCTAGCTCAGTGACGTCAGTCCTCTGAGCTGTAGGTACTATTGTTATCCTCATTTTGCAGATCAAGAAACCAAAGCACAGGGAGGTCAATAGCATCACCATTTATATGGTCAGGAAGTAGCAAAACTAGGATTTGAACTCAGACAGTCTGGCTCCAGACTCTGCTCTCTGAACCACTGTCTCCTATTGGGAGGGCTGAGAGCAGGCGGTCCCTCGAGAGGGAGCAGATGTCCTAAAGCCTGCCACAGGTTTGTTATTTTTAGATTTGTTCTGTAGGTATTCCGAAAGAAGCCTCACAAAGTGCATCGGGATTACTATTGAGACCAGGCCAGATTACTGCATGAAGCGCCATCTAAGTGACATGCTGACCTACGGCTGCACCAGGCTGGAGATCGGGGTGCAGAGTGTGTACGAAGATGTAGCCAGAGACACCAACAGGTGAGGTGGCGGCAGGTGACTCCAGCACACCTGCCTCTGTCCCCACTGATTTTCTCGGAATTCATGCTCATCTTTTCTTCCTTCTTGCCGGTTCTTAGAGGAAGAGGAGTGGGTCTGGCTCCTCTCCAAAGTCCCTTCTTCTCTGCACACTCTGAAGTCCATTCCCTCTGTTTTTCATTTTTTTTAGTCTTTCTCTACTGACTTTTCCAGTAGCCTGTAAACATGTGCATTTCTCATAAGCAGTTTTGTTCATATAGAAAGCAGAAGGCAGGATTCAGGGTGAGTGGTTTAAAGCAGGAGAGAAGGGGCGGCGCCTATGGCCCAAGGAGTAGGGCACCGGCCCCATATACCAGAGGTGCTGGGTTCAAACCCAGCCCCGGCCAAAAACTGCAAAAAAAAAAAAGAAGTAAAGCAGGAGAGAAGGCCTGGGAGAATGGAGCAAAGGAACAAGTTTGAAGAAGGAAGAAGTCAGGAGAAGGTTTAAGAGACTAATTTTTGTCGCCTCAGTGCCTGTTGCTTAGTGGTTAGAGCACCAGCCACATACACCGGGGCTGTTGAGTTCAAACCCAGCCCGGGCCTGCTAAACCACAATGACAATAACAACAAAAATAGCTAGATGTTGTGGTGGGCGCCTGTAATCCCAGCTACTTGGGAGCCTAAGGCAAAAGAATCATTTAAACCCAAGAGTTTGAGGTTGCTGTGAGCTGTGATGCCATGACACGCTACCAAGGGGGATATAGTGAGACTTTGTCTCAGAAAAAAAAGAGAGAGACTAATTTTTGTGAAGCAAATACCAATTGGCAGAAAGTTTGGTGAGGCAGTGCGTATAAACTTTGAGAAACTGGGGAGTGCAAGGTAGGAAAGAAATAAGGGTTCATAGAGCCAGGAAGTTCTGTTTCCTCGAGAAATACAGCAATGATTAGAAGAGAGAAAATACCTGAGGAAAGTTAACTGTATAAAGAACTTTATAATTAATTGCTAAATGAGTAGGGATGGGGCAGGGATATCAGGAGGCAGCAGAGGTCACAGACTGAGCGTGGTGACAGTGGGCTTCAGGAGGAAGATGTCTTGAATTGGACCTTGAAGACCCCTTTGCTTTGGTAGGATTTGGGTCAACATGAAAGGGGAACTAGGGAGACAGACATTGGTCAGCATCTTCAAAATAACCGAAAGGCTATAATAACCAGGTGGAGGAGGGTGGAATTTTCCCTTTGGGTAATAGAGTTCTGTTGAATATTTTTGAGCACAGGGAAGGTGAATCTAAAGGATGTCACGCTTGTCAAAGAGTGACCCACGTAGAACCCAACTTGTGTAAGATGAGACTCAAAGCAGGAAGACTGGCTGGGGTGTTATCATAATCAAAGCTGTGCTCGAGGAGATACCTGTGGAGAGGGGGAGACTTTTTTGAAGGTCAGGGAACTTTCTGAGGAAAATGACATCTGAGCTGAGACTTAGAGGCAGAGTATGGGTTAGGTGCTGAAGTGGAAGATTGTTTCAAGCAGGAAGAAAATGTGAACAAAGTCCCTAGGACAGGCACATGTGGGGGGACCAGAGTGGTTCAGTGTGGTTAGAGTGTGAGAGTGACCAGGGGTGAGGCTGGAAAGCAGCCAGAGAGGCCCTAGAGGCCCCAGGGAGGCTGGGCTCTAACCCAAGGGCAGCAGCCATGGGCTGTAAATTAGCTAAGCTGTGATCGGGGCATATCTGTGTTTCACATAGATGGCTTTAGTGACCATAGGAGGCAGACACAGGGTGTCCATAAAGTGGGTGTGCAGTTAAAACAGTTGGCCATTTGTAAACGGCACATGAACTTTATGGACATCCTGTATTAGAGGAAAGCAAGCTAGAGGGGGGAACAGGTAAACAAGAAGTACTGATTGTTCTGGAGAGAAGGGAACGGCAGTGCTTGGTGACTGGAAACTAGCCTAGGAGAGATGGAAGTCAAGACAGCTGGGGGGAAGGTGGGTTTCGTTTTGAATATGTGAAGTTTTAGACACTTGTGGAACAACCAGCTGAAGGTTTGCCTTAGAGCAAGGCAAGTGATAGAACATTGCGCAGTGATCCAAGTGTTCTGTGCCTGCACTGTCCAATGTGATAGTGCGACTGAGGACCTGACCCTTTCATTTAATATGAATTTGAATAACCCCGGTGCACAGTGGCTGCCATATTGTACGGTGCTACTTTAAAGTACTGCGCATTTGGGTGCAGTATTCAGGAGAGAGGCCTACCCTTGTCTTAGAAATTTGGAAGTCATTAGCAAAAAGACTTGGAGATTGTAACTTTGGAAATGGATGAGAGCGTCAGGGAGCATGAGCTGGGGTCCCTGTTTCCAGGATCTTTCTGTGCTGAACAGGAAAGGAAGGAGTGCCACAGGCTTCCGTCTTTGGTGCCCCTGACTGCTACTCAGGCTCCCTTCCCGTCTGCAAGTGGCCCTGAGATGCCCCGTTAAGGCAATTTATCCCTGTGGCCTTCTCACGAAACCATTCTCTCTTCCCATGTTTTCTAAAGGACCCTCCAAACCCACCAATGAAATCTGTTTGGAATTATAGGTTTCACTCTTCCTCTTTCTCTCTACAAATAATTAACAAGATTTTTAAAGGAGATGGCAAGTCGCTGCTTCTGCACAGTTTTGAGCTCACTATTCCTGTTTTAACACAGACTTTACATAAGTAAGTTTATGTTGACTGATGACGCTAAACCAAATCATTTTAACATACATTAACTCTTGTTACCCCGACATTTACTTTCAGTACTTTAAGTAGGTGCATAAGGGAATTTCTGAGAAATATCTTAGAAGTGAGTTACGTCCAGGCCTTCTCAGAGGAGAGGATGTAAAAAGTGACTTTCTGAGAGGGTCTTCTTCCCCCATCACATGAATTTTGCTTATAGAACTTCTGTTACGCGTCTCAAAGATGCTTTTCCCTCTGCTGCTGCTGTAGCCCATTTATTTATATAACTAGTGGTGACTTTTCTTTTCCCAGGGGTCACACTGTGAAGGCAGTTTGTGAGTCATTTCATCTGGCCAAAGATTCTGGTTTCAAAGTCGTGGCTCATATGATGCCTGATCTGCCAAATGTGGGACTAGAAAGAGACATGGACCAGTTTACGGTGAGTGCTGCCTCAGCAGGCCCATCCACAGTGCCCTGCGGGCTTCTGACCACCCATTTGCCCTTGCTGTTTCTTTACTGTTGATTTTTCCATTTTTTTAAAGCAATACATCCTCATTATAGAATGTTATTAATGGGAACACAGTTGAGTAAGTCACACCAAGCCCTGCCAAACTCTAAGGTTTTAATATATTCTTTGCATAGGCTCTTTGGGGGTGAGGTTGTTTATGCACCCACAACACAGGCCACTTAATGGTTACAAATATGTGTGAAGTCAGAATCCTTTAAATTGCTTTTTCACTTGCCAAGCATTTATCCATGTTGTAGCCTGGTCTCTGCCAAAGTATCTAAATACATGTTTAATTTAATATGTCATTAACTTAACCATTTCCTAATTTTTCAAAAGTTAAGGTATTACTGGTCTTTTATAAGTAACACCACCTATGCCTATCACTTTTATGGAGTACTTGGGTTTTCATCTTTATGATGAATTCCATGGAGCAGAATTACCATGTAAAGGTACAAACACTTTAAGAATTTCACATATTTCTAGGTAGCTTTGCAGAGGGTTGTAACGATTTACATTCATCTCAGAAGGGTGGTTTCCCCCCTCCAAATAATTCTTTCCTGTTTATTTTCTGTATGTTTTCCTGCACATATAGACACACATATAAATACAATATTTTACCCTTTGCTAATTTGATGGTTAAAAGTGGCATTTTAACTTGCATCTTAAAACAGTAGTAGGACTCAGTGCCTGTGGCTCAAGAGGCTAAGGCACCAGCTACATACACCTAAGATGGTGGGTTTGAATCCAGCCCGGCCCCCACCAAAACAATGATGACAGCTGCAACCAAAAAATAGCCAATAGCTGTGGTGGGCGCCTGTGGTCCCAGCTACTTGGGAGGCTGAGGCAGGAGACTCGCTTGAGCCCAGGAGTTGGAGGTTGCTGTGAGCTGTGATGCCATGGCACTCTACCCAGGGGGACAGCTTGAGGGTCCATCTCAAAAAAAAAAAAAAAAAAGGTAGGTATATTTTTCAGGTTTGTATTTACTAAATTATATCTCTTTCATCTTTTTGGAATTTTGTGTTTTTGTCTTCTGACCAATTATTTTATTGGGATATGAATTTTTTAATTTTTATGAACTTTTAATTTAATTAATTAATTAACTTTGGGGGGGGAGACAGTCTCACTCTGTTGCCGTGGGTAGAATGTCGTGGCATCACAGCTCACAGCAACCTCAAGCTCTTGGGTTCAAGCGATCCTCTTACCTCAGCCTTCCGAGTAGCTGGGACTACAGGCACAACACCCAGCTAGTTTTTCTATTTTTTGTAGAGATGGGGTCTCGCTCTTGCTCAGGCTGGTCTCAAACTCCTGAGCTCGAGGAATCTACCTTCTTTGGCCTCCAAGTGTTAGGATTACATGTGTGAGACACCAGCTTTTTTTTTTCTTCCTTTTTTTTTTCTCGTTTGGGATTCATTGAGGGTACAAAGACACACCCAGCTGATAAAAATTTTTGAGAGAGATTATGGGTTTACTGGGTTTTTTTTATATTTGTTATAGATGTTTTCCTCAACCTATTGTTGGCCATTCAGACCTGCCTTTCTGTTTTCTTCTGGCTTTTCTGGTCTTTGAATTTTAATGTTTAACTGTTACTCTGGTTTGGGTTTTTTTGTTTTGTTTTGTTTTTGTTTTTTCACTCTGTCGTGGTTTCTTGACCCTTGTTAGCTCTGTTTAGGAATACGCTGGCCAGGCCCTTTGTTTTTCTTCACATTCTCAGATAGGGGAAAGTTTTAGGGACATCCACAATTTTAGGGAAGATGATGACAATACATATTTTTCAAGTTATTTCATTTAAAAGAGTATTTTTACTCTATTTAGAAGAATGGAATTGATCATGTGTTATTTATAATGTTAATAATTCTTTACTTCCTTTTAAAAAGTGTATTACTTTGTAAGCTCTTAAAACTACAGCTGAAGGCCTGTTTATAAGACAACATTAATCCACAGATATCCCTGTTAGTGATTCCCCTATAGATTCCCCTGTGTAATAGATTTTGAATCTAATATCCTCCCCTCCGTAACTAATAGCCAGGTAGTTAGACACCAAGCCTAAAAGGCACCGGAGCACATTTCTCTTTAGCACAGACCCCAGGCAGCCTGGCATATAGCCAGAATTTATAAACTTTAAATGCACTTGAGAGATAAGGTATGTTTAATACCACAGCAGGTAAAGGTAAATAGCGGAGCCTTGCTAATCATTTTCCTTAGTATCTTCAAAATCAGGGATAGTTCAGTAATAATATGCAAAGACAGCCCTTTGTATAAACAGATTTATCTGCTTGTTTGTTGTCTTTTTGGAGAAACCGCAGGGGACATGAACAGACCATATTTCTTTTTTAACTGCATCCTGGTAGATGAGGGACAAAATGGAGCTAAAATGAAAAACTTGATTTCTCTCTAGAGAGAAATTCTCTGAAAATTAACTTATAAATTGCTTTCAAATAAATAGCTTTTACAGATCAATAAGAAAAAGGCAGACAGCTCAGTAGGAAAATGGATAGAAAACTTGAACAAACATTTTACAAAGAGAATATCCAAACAGCTGATAAATCCATCCAAAAGTTCTCAAAGTTATTTTCACAGAAATGAAGTTTAAAACCACAATGCATTACAGCTGTATACTCAGCAGGATGGCTAACATTTAAAAGGACAAGATCAGAATTAGAACTAGAACTCTCATTTACTGCTGGTAGGAATGTGAATTGGCATATCCATGTTAGAAAACTGACAGTGTCTGCGAAAGCAGAACCTGTGTACCCCCCACAGCCCAGCATTCCTCCTCCTCAATATAAACCCAACAGAAAATCACACAGATCTACCAAGACATGTTCACAACTTACTGTTGGTAATATCATTCAAGTGGGAAATACCTAAGTGTCCTTTAATAGTAGACCGCACAGATAAATCGTGGTGAGATCATAGGATGAAATACCGTAAAATAAGAGCAATAGTCACAGCCTCGTACAACAACATGGCGGATTCTGTTCAGGGCTACATAGAACTCAAGAAGCAGATCCAAAGACTACGGAAACCTGTAATTCCATTTATGAAGTTCAAAAACGCGGGATGGAATTTTAACTGGAAACAAGTGTGGGGTGGACTTCTGACATTCTGATCATGTTCTTTTTCTTGATTTGAGTGTCTGGGTGCTGGTTACAAGATTTGTCAAAAGCTATCAAGATGCACACTTATAACATGTATCTGTCTTTATCTGTGTTACATGTCAATGAAACATTCACATAAAAAATTTCAAAACTCAAAGTTTTTGTTTAGAAAATCTTGTGTGGGCCTATTTGAAATTCGCAGCCTTTCCTGACTTAGGCAGTGCTTTTTATACTTTACAACTTCTTTTTTCCCTGCTTTATTTTATTGTCACACATGCCCAGAATTCCTTATGAACAGCCCACATAGTTCCCTTAATGTATTTTGTCCCACAGGAAGGATTGCTAGATCAGAGACCTACTTGTATAATTGCAAAATTCTACAAAGTTTTCTCTCCATAGAGGACAGGATTTCTTAGCCTGCCATGGATTCATAAAGCCACAATCCAGCCCACCAAGATCAACAGCTGTATCTCCAGGGTTTGGGGCCTACATGTCTTAGTTATAGGTTGGCTTAGAGTTCACCCTGTTACGTTACTCAATTCTGTGTTCCTGGAGTGAGATCCTGGTTACTTGCATCTATTTCTTGTAAATTTACGTTCCTAATAGAGCAGTAAGTTCAGAGCTTGTGGCTATGTGTATTTGCTTATATTTCCCAGCAGCTCAGAGTTCCTTTTGAAAAGAAGTTTTCTTTTTTCTTATAAAGCTAGAAGTCTATCTTTGTTATGATAGAGACTGTTTCACAGCTTAGAATTTATCCTGCCTCCTTTCTTGTTCTCTTTGTCCCTCTGGGTTTAGACTTTTTAAAAAATTCCTGTCATTTTAGCGTGATTTTTGAGGGAAAGGAGAAAGACCTATTTTAATACTTCATGTTTAACCCAAAATCCAGAACCAATTCAGTTTGCTTTCATTCTTTCAAAAGGTATATATGTGTATCATCTCGTATGTCTCCTAAACTTATTATACAAGTATCAGAAGTATTTTTCTGAAATCCCACGTTCAAATGGGGATTCAGATTAGGTAGAGAACGGCTCCCTACATCTTCTTTGTGGAGTGATCACAGAATATTTATTGAAGACATGATGAACTTTAAAATACAAATATTACAGGAAAAGTTGCACAATTATTGAAGACTGTCTCTGAGACCAAATGGCATGCAAAGAAAGCAGCATTTAAGAATGCAATAGAAGTCAGTGCGAGTGTTCAAAAAGTCTACAGTTACATTTCTGTGAAAAACAAGTTACATAATGGAAAGCCTCATAAGAATAATGTAGTGGAAGATAAAAAGCATTTTGACAGTTTATGAAGTAAGGCACTGCTGGCTGGATACTCGGCCACCATGAGGGTGAGAGGAACTGTGTGAGTCTGCCTTCATTGTTCCAGCACGCCCCATGCAAGACAAGATGAGCACAGAGCGTTACTGTGAAGTCACAGGAAGGAGAATGCCCATGTCTCCTGGCCACATCCCAAATAAAGAAAGAAGTAAGGTAGCCAACCAGGGTGATACAGTGTGAGAAATGACTGTGCCAAAGGCAGATGAGTTGGATGTTTTACTCAGTGTCCAATAACAGTGGACAGTGTGTAGCCCAGGTTAGAAATGGTTCCAGTTAGCCTGAGAAAAGTAGTCACATCCAGGGATCGGCAGGATCCCTTTTACTGGTAAGAGCCATATAGTAAACTTCTTTTGGTTGGTTGGTTGGTTTGAGACAGTCTCACTTTGTCACCCTGGGTAGAGTGCCATGGCGTCATAGCTCACAGCAACCTTAAACTCTTGGGCTCAAGTGGTTATCTTGCCTCAGCCTCCCCAGTAGCTGGGACTACAGGTGCCCACCACAATGCCCGGCTAGTTTTAGAGAGAGGGTCTCACTCTGCTTCAGGCTGGTCTTGAACTTGTGAGCTCAGGCAATCCACCCACCTTGGCCTCCCAGAGGGCTATGATTACAGGTGTGAGCCACCATGCACAGCCTCAGTATTTTAGGATTTTAAGTCAGATGATGTCTGTCACAACTTTTGAAAAGTTTAAACAATTACATATGTCCCACTATTAAAGGATCATATTGTCTATAAGTGAAAGCAGACATTAATAGGTTGTCATAGGATGATGTTAAGAAAGTGGTAATACAGGATTCAGTGGAATTTTTTTTAAGTGGGGTAGCTAGTATTTGAAGGCCAGGAAGGCCTCTCTGAAGAAGCAGCACTCAAGCTGAGACTGAAGATTAGGTATAAGAAAAGCTGATGAACTTTCTGGGCAGAGGAAGGTGCCTTTGCAGAGATAGAAAGGCCTGATGTGAGGGGTGGTCTGAGATGACATTGTGCAGTAGACAGGGACTGGTTGGGAGGGGCTTGAAGTCCAGGACACACGTGCTTTGCTCTGGTGAGGCTACAAAAACAATGAGTTTCTGTCCTCCTTAAAAACCTGCCCTGGTTGGAAAGGAAAGGCAGCCCCAGGCCTGCCAGGCATGTGGGAGAAGCTGGCCCCAGATTGAGACTTCACCCTGGCTGAGCTCTTCATCACTAATGGAGAAGTCATTTTCTCTTCTCTGCTCACAGGAGTTTTTCGAGAATCCTGCTTTTCGTCCTGATGGTCTGAAACTCTACCCTACTCTGGTAATTCGTGGAACTGGACTTTATGAGCTTTGGAAATCAGGAAGATACAAGAGCTATTCTCCTAGTGACCTGATCGAACTCGTAGCTCGGATTCTAGCTCTTGTGCCTCCGTGGACTCGAGTCTACCGGGTGCAGAGGTATTGTGTTATCTTTTATTCCGAAAATAATTGGTGACGAGTCTTTCTGTTTATAGTTTCTGATGAGAATGGTCTGATTTCGCATAGAGGGGTTTGAATTGAATGGGACATCTGGAATGCTATCTGTAAATAGAGAGGAATGGAAATGAAAGGACAGCCTGTCCAAGCCACTTTCCATACCACGTCTAATCGTCTGTCCATTCATGTCTGTCACCATGAGCCTGGAGACGGAGTCACGATAGTAAACAGGCATGGTGCTCGCTTCTGAGGAGCTTCTGACCCACATCGGGATTTCCTCTTCTGGGCTACTTCAGTCTGAATACAGAGACGAGTGTGAGGAGAGGAAGGGTAGCCGTGTGTCTTATCCCTGTTCTAGCACCTCTGAAGGGAAAGGAAAGAGCAGCCACGATCATTCTTTACAGATGTTAATATAAATGTGGAGAACGAGTAAAGAAAATAAAATAGTCTTACCTGTTTTCTTTCTAGAGGAGAGAAAGTGAGCTCTCATTTAAAATCAAGGGCCTTATGTATTTATTCTCTTTACTACAAATAAAACAATGAAGAAAAATTGTAGCAGCCACAAAGTTACTCCTCTCTTTCTACAGTGCTAACAAGGCCATTTCTGTGTTTGTCCGTCATTAAGGCACATTGATTCCCAGCAGCCTGCCAAAAACTGTCTGGGTTCCAGTGTTAGAAATGCAAGGCCAGAGGTGACTGGTAAGCGCAGGTGCAGTAAGCGGCCATGACTGGCGTTGTGTTACTCATGACGTAAAACAGTGAATACTAAAAGCAAGCAGAATTATCAGATGTGCTGTGACAGATTTGCTGGAAGTTGAAGGACGTTTATACCCTATTTCTGCCATAGCATGTTGATTTCTCAAACTTGTTGAATCATCTAAATGCCGGTATGATCTCTATTTTTAAAAATACTCTTAAAATACTAAGGAGATATGAATAGAAAAGTCAGCTGTTAAAATTGTTTGCATTGTTCTTTTTCATCGCTTCTGGAACAGCTCCGTCCAGAAGACATTGGGTGGGGCTGGCTGGGCATGTGGGTATCGCCGTGGGGGGAGGTAGGGAGCCACAGGGACCAGCCATCCATGTGGAGATGGCAGTGGTGACTGTGGTGAAAGGACATTCATTCCCACAGGAGCGGATCTGGTACAGGATGTACATCCTCTGGGGGGAGAGAGAGGTGGGAAGAAAAGAGGACAGCGACAGAATGATTAGTTACTTATAGGGTTGATCTAATCCATGGATACATTAAGGATAATGGGGGCTGGGTTTTTCCGATCTGAGAAGGCAGTTACAAATGAGAAAAGGAGAAAATTAAGGTGAATGCAGTTATGTTGTTGAATAGGAGATAATTGGTGTGAACTCATGGTTTTCAACATGTAGGTAGATACAGAAATAAATGTAAATATAATAAATAGCAATACAGTTAACCTCTGTATCCATGCATTTCACATCCACAGACTCAACCATCCTCAGTTGGAAAATATTCAGAAGAAACAAATGAATAGTTTCATCTGTACTGAATGACGGACAATTTTTTCTTGTCATTATTCCCCACACAATATACTGTAACAACTATTTGCATAGTATTTGCATTGTATTTAGCATTATAAGTAACCTAGAGATAATTTAAAGTATACAGGAGGATGTGCATAGTAGTTATATGCAAATACTCCACCATTTTACATAAGGGACTTGAGCATACACTGATTTTTTTGTCCCCATATGGTCCTGGAACCAAATCCTTATGGATGCCAAGGGATGACTATAAATACAACATGGGGGGGGGGTGTTTTATAACAATGAGCACACCTGGTTTCTAGATCTTGGCTTCTAAATACCCGCCTCCATTAAAAGGAACCAGGGTTCCTTGGAAAAATGGCTGGTCATGGTCCTGGAGCAGAGAAAGTACAAGATGAACTTGGAACCTCTTGTGCCAGAAAGTATGGAAGTTTTCAAGGAAAGAGAGGGAAGGCAGCTTCAAGGGCTCTCATTGGCTAAATCTGGGACCATGACCAAAATAAATATTGATATAAATACATTATAACCAACTGAATAAAACAGAAGTCCACACACGTATAATGATATATACAATTAAATTAATACAAGTGTGATTCAGAAACATAATATTTCAATCAACCCTCATTGTTCACATATTTTGTATTTGCAAACTGCCTGTTTGCTAAACTTCATGTGTGACTCAAAATCAATCCTTATGGCATTTTTGCAATCATTCTTAGACACATGGAGAGCTGTGAAAAATGTGAGTTGCCCAACACAGATGTCCCTTGCTAAGATGAGACAAGGCAGTGGCGTTGTGCCTTCTTCCTCGGTTCTCACGCTGTAAGCAAGTGCCCTTTTCACAGTCTCTGTTGTACCACTTCTTCCAAATTTGGGGGTAGTTGGTTGGGATTTGCTGTTTAAAATGACCCCCAGCCCTAGCTCTGAAATACTGCTATTCTCCCTAAGTCCAGGAAGGCTACACTGTGCCTTGTAGAGAATATACGTTAGAGCAGAGAATATACATGTTCAGGCATGAGTTATGAGCTGTCGGCTCTGAGTTCAATGTTAATAAATCAACAATGTCTATTAAATAAGGCGTCTTTAAACCGAAACTAACATGAAATGGGGTTATGTATTGATCAGACAAAATGTTGTGACTACAGGCTCCCAGGAACCTAACTATGTATTCTCCCTGGGAGCGGTGGCTCCATGCTCACCAGCTCAGTGTCAGTGGTGACTGCCTGGTAACGTAACTAGAATTAAGTTTCACAGCGTCTCCTCCCAGCATACTTACTAATTACAAAGTGGATAGGAGTAACAACAGTGCAGGTTGGCAGCTGATCAAAGTGAACATTGTCAATCACAGTCCTAATCACAATCGTGTGCTGCTGGGTAGGCCATACTGAGAACATGGCGTCCACTCTATGTCATCTGCCAAAACTCCATAATCTGAGTCTAATCGTAAAGAAACAACAGACCATCCCAAACCGAGGAACATTCTGGAAAAGTAACTGGCCTGTAGCCTTTGAAAATACGAGGATCAAGAAAGAATTCCCTTTTGAAGGAGATCAAAAAGATGTGACAATTCAATGCATTTCAAAGTTGTGAACTGGATTATTTTGTCATAATGGACTTTATTGGGACATTGGCAAAACTCTAATGATATCTAGGATTAAACAATAGTCAGCCAAGTTGCAGCCCTGATTTGAGGGATTTTATTGTGGTTATGTAAGAGAATGTTCTTGTAGGAAATAGAGTATCCTGAGAGTGACAGGACCTCTTATTCATAACTTCCACTTAGTTTGGAGAAATAACTTATTTGTACCTCACTTGGGACTTTTTCTGTAACTTTGGGATTGTTTAAAAAAATGTAATTCAGTACAAAACAAAGATGCAATAAATAGTATCAGCAGAGACAGAAGAAAAAGATCATTTTTGCATTTAACCAACTTGAATAATCAGAGCACAGTGAAGATGCTTCTTCCCAGGAGCAGAGTTTGGCAAAGGATATCACCGACTCCTTAACCATTTTACATCAAGATATATCATACTTCTCTTGCCAAAAGTAATAAGGCATAGATCACATCAGCAGTCAGATGAAGAATTTGTATTCTTCCCTTCCTGTTCTGCCTAAAATTTTTTACTACTCTAACCGGTCTAAAGCAGCAGAGATCCTGCTCTAACATTAAAAGCTTGATTTTATAGACCTTCTGAAATATCACCATGGGACGTTTCTACTGGCTCACCACCAACGGAGAAACTAAGGACTTGAGGAAGCAAGAGCAGGAAACATCGTCTCTGTAGTTAAGAACACGTCTATCCCCCCAAAGTCAATACGAGGAGAAAGGCACGACATTACAGGGTGAGGGACGTGACTGCCCCATTCTCGTTTCTTGTCCCCCGTCACAGCCCTCAGTTCCAGCAGCCAGCATGTCAGTTCTTGTTCCCCGTCAGTGTATCACTTAAGGTGTGTGTGTGGGGGAGGGCGTAGGCTTCAGATTTTGAAGTGACATTTTATTACTTCACAGATTAGGTGGGTGAATTAAAACTTAATGGAATCCTGTAGAACAAGAGGCAGTGGTGCCGTCTCTTTTAAAATGTGGAATTAGTGATGTCCTTCATGAGTCTGAGGACAATTTATAGTTTGAAGACAGCGATGACTCCGTTCCCAGCACCGTGAATGCCATTGGTGAGGAAAGTCATCTGGATTCTAGTTGTGATGTCAGGTCCTCATGGGTTCCTTTGATTGCCATCGTTTGCTAGATTTTTTAAATATAAACCTTTATAGAATTTTCCAATTTATTTTTATGCTTTTGATAAAACTGATATTTGTTCTTACACTAGTTTCCATTAGAATTCACTACTGTTCTTTTTAACGTAGCTTACTGTAAGCTAATATTTAATAAAGTGCTTGTGTCTCTGTAACGTGGGGAAGATTCCTTCAAATATATTGTGTTACTCTGTGTTTTGCCTTAGATATTAGTGAGTTGTTACTGAGGCTCCCTGCATAGAATTCATTTATATTGATTGTATTTAGCTTCTTGCTTTTTATTCATTTTTGTTTTCATGTTTTCTTTGTGTATACCACTTTGGAAGATGACTTAGATTTATTTTATATTGTTATTTGCTTTTTGTTCTTAATAATCACTGGAATTCTCGAGTAGGGTTATACCATGCTGAGTAGTGTATGAGATTTCATTTACTGGTTAATGTATTATATCTTATGTTTCTGTTCCCAATATGATTTCTTTTTTGATCATGTGATTTTATGCTTTTTTCCAACAGAGTTTGTAGAATATTAAAAATTATCCAGAACTTAATGTTTTCTTCCTGATCTCTAGCCATATGGGACTATATGAACATGACCAAAATAATGTTTTCTCTGTAAAATTACTAACCCACTTTCAGTATATGTGTCAATAACAAAATTCCATTATTTCTTCAAAAAGTTCCTTGTAAAATTAGGGTACATCTCTGTTATA